TACATTCACCACTATGTCCTTTATGTGGTCAATTTTCATCAAAAACTGTCATAACAGATATTCCATCTTCTCGGGAGGCTCAATTACATTGAACCGAACCTAATGACAGGGATAGTCTTATATAGAATAACCAGGCCATTTGTCCACGTTTTCTGCTGCAGGCCTATTTTTCTTACCAAGACAAGTGTTTTGCACGTTTCTGACACGTCGAAATGAGATCTTCGCTCCAATCTTTTTTAAGGCGAAAACACCGACATAGTGCAGTGGTTGTTTAGAGTGGGCCAGATATTGAAAAAAAAGTATACAGGCATAAACCTTAGTTCGTTCAACACTACATGCTCGTCTCCTGCAGTTCAAAATTCATACTGGTCGTGAATACTGAAATCTTCACTGTTGGACTTTCATTAGTGCGGACCGAGAAATTTCATAACATGAGCTATGATTTGTCTGTTGTGCTGCCTCATCCATTGAATGACTTCAAATATACATTTTTAGATGACACTTTTCTCCCCCCACCCTCTTTCGGGGCATCAATCTCTATTAGCTTATATTTCGATCCACCTTGTATTTGGATTTCAGCTTGTTAGCCTCACAAAGCTAATCAATTATACCGACGATTTTCTTCTCCGATCCACTATACCTTCTACACTTCATGAGCTTATGAGCTGTTATTCCCCTCCGATAAGCTCAGTTTATGTGATAACCGTACAAATTGGTAACAACCACGCTTTTGTCGGCGAACAAACAACGGCATTACAGCGATGAGCAGGTCGGTGAAACACGTTCATACAGGTTCATGTGCGACGGCTGGAAGACTCGAATTGCGCATGTAATGTCAGCGTACTGGCTTAGATCAACGAATGAGAATAGTGATAACTGAACAGAATAACACTGAACTTGGTTCAAGAACCGAAAAACTCTTACGGTCTGTCATGAAGATGCTACAAAACACGATCAGAATGCTCACAGTCAGTGCGTTCTCAGGAATGACCACAGTTTACAACCTAAGGTTACTCAAGTTTAGCAGATTGCTTTTGTAGGCACTTGCAGGCAACCTACTCACAGCCCCCAACTATAAAACTGGTGACCAACCTGAGGGGCCTCATGAGACTGGACTATTCGACACCCGATAGCAAACAGTAAAAGTCATACGGAACCGAAATTTGTGGATACATGAACCACTGGGAGCCCAAACGGGACCCAGAAAATCGCTTACGAGCAGGTTAACGATAACTCCACCGTTGAATCAACACCTACCCCTCTTAGTCCTAGACAACTGAAGTACGAGGCCGGCTCTTCTTCCTTTCCTGGTTTTACCCGCTCATTATACACAAGACTCAAGTCACAAGCAGTGGAAATAATTGCGGGCTCACATATCCAATTAATGGTTGTCGCCCTTAAACTGTGCTGGCCAAAGCGGTATGAAGGAAGATGCACGAAAGCTGTGGAAAACTCGTCCAAAAGACTTCTAATATTTCAGCTGACCAGTGACGACGGCTTAAAGAAACACCCACCTACATCACAAATGTGGCTGGTGTTCAGCGACTCTAAAAAATGGTTCAAAGCTAAATGAGACGGCCTCGAAAGACCGAATTTCGCGAGGCATTTACAAAAATGCTGGGTGTATTGTTGGGATGGGAATGACATCCAACCCTCAATTTCCATCTACTAGTCTGCTTACGTTTAAATTTGACATGAACCATGCTGCTGACATTCGACATTTCCTGTCTGAAATATCCGGATATTCGCTGAATGACTTGGTATTCGTGCGCCCGTTATGACCATAGTGCTTGACACTTGCTACTAATGCAATACATCAGTTTACAAGACTGACAGAATATCGATGTATACTGAAGATGGAACATACCAGTAATATCTATTTAAGACAGTTCAAAATACCAACCCCATATATAATCGGAAACTGAGTTAGAAATTACTGAGTTTGACTGTGCTTGTTCATTTGTGCTAGATATTCAAACAAAGTCCACGAAAATTCAGCAATACACTTGGGAATGTCGACCTCAGATTCTGTGCAAATGGGGTTTTCGCTATGAAGTCCAATGGCTTGCAACCGCTCTGTTCATGTTTTACGATAAACAACTCTGCTATTGGAGGGAATATTTGTAGCTCATGTAACGTAGATAGTCGCTGGTTTGTTCGCTGGGCTGGGCAACTTGAGTGCGAACCAACATCATTGCTAATCGAGGTGACACCATTAGTGCGTTGGGAGTGGAGAGGAGTGCAGTGTGGCGGTGCGTCAGTACGACCACTCACGTGCCTTAACAACGTACTGATGATTTCACCTCCACTAGTGGTGAAACGGTTGCGATCAAACTGCATAGCTCAGCGAACAAACCAACGATCAAAAAACAACTCTGCATTCACCGGGAAAACACTAAGATTTTGATCATTTCTCGTCCACTGTTGGTCCGCCATTGAAAGTCGGAGATGAGGTTGAAGTGCCCACAGGTGTCGCTGTATTCTTTACAGGTAACCACGCGTTCTCAAATCCCAGTTGTCACCGTAGATAGTTTTCTGTATGGCAAATGGCCCGATGTGACGATGCCTGAGGACACGAATGCCTTGGACAATTTATCAGGACGTGCAAAAGCAAAGGCCAGCAGGTTAGTGAGTAATTTTTCTTCCTCACCAGTTGATTTCTGCTCGAGTTGTGCGGGAAAATGGCATAAATGGTACACGAGTTGAAGCATGTGCCCTCTCCCTCCCTAGAAGAAGTTCTCCACAAAGAGCGCGATTTCCACCAGATATGCGAAGGTGCGTGCACTTCTTGGAGAGCAGTGTGTCGAATTTTCAATAACAGAATACATCCGACCTACTTCCAACGCCTCCTTGTGGAGCTGTGGGAATCGGTGTTTTCTGCATCCAAACTCTGCTAATGAGGGATGGCGTCCAGCAAATTATTCACGTGAACGGTGACGTCCAGAAACAGAAAGTAAATCTGAGAATGGCTTTGATACGACACTCAAGGTACTTCAACTATAACTAATGGGTTGTCGACAAATCCCGACTTTTCCACTATGCACAGACCATTTCCCTGACTAGAAAAGTTCTTAGTTAAGATGTGCAATTAACACTCTCGGACTCTGTGACAGGAAAGGGTTCCTTCAAAATCCAAACCACGGTGCACATATTCATCGTTATAACTGAAACACAAAGTGTATTGGGCTATCCTAACCAAGTCCCCACTTACCGTCAACACACTCCAGATTGACCACTCCGTTTAGATCGATATCCAGCAATTCACTGAACCTGAGAACCAAAGTATCTGGATTCCTCGGTAAAATGGCCACGTGGTCCCCGGGTTTGTAACTACAATGTATCGAATGGGTGAAATAAAACGAGAGAAAGCGTAGTTTTGAGCTTACGAACAACCGCTCCAGGGCGACTATCATCTGCGGAGGCTACCTGACATCTATTACCAAGTATTATCACGAGCATTTACAGGACCCGAATGATGATCCTGGTAGGCAGCAAGTACCAGAGAGAGAAGATTGAAAGATAACTGAAAAATGCGCGTGCTCACCGAAAATCACTGCCGGAAATATCCAATTCAATGTGCCGACAGGAACGCGTCCCACCGGTGTGTAGTTCTCGGTTGACTTGCACACGCGCCAAAAATGGGTTTTTCGCGTCAAACGGCCTGGAACAGATATAGATTGGCGAACGGTATCAGGTCGCGTCAAAACTGTGGTGCAAACACCATGAAATTACGATGAATTTCTATGACTAGCAATTGACTTTGGTTTCCAAGTCACAGACAACAATTGGAGGAAATCAAACTAACAAAATTTCATTAGTTTCAAAACGAACCGAAAGTCCGAAGAAACCATCTTAAACTGCCTCAAATTAAACGTGATTTGGTGCTAAGAGAGCCACGGAATTCACGACAAAACACAAATAGCCATCTTTCCGTAATTTCTTGGACGGAACTACTCACAAGATTGCTGAAAACTC